GAGGTTAAAGTTATAATGTTGTTGTTCATCCTTTTGGCTTGATGCTCTAGACGTGAGTCATCCTCACAAAGTGCTTGCACATAACTACACAAAAAAGCAAACATGTGCATGTGCTCAAGCACAGACGCTTGGCAGGTATTTGCAAAACCAGTGGGGCGTGATGATGGTTTGGCTCACTTCATGTCTTTGTCCTCCTGTCACTGTTCGTCTTTCTGTCTCCGCCTCACAACCTGTTATCCTCCTTGGCTGTCTTTGCTCGGATGCTCCTTTGTTTGGTTTAACTAAGCCTTGGTGAACTGTGAGTGTAGCAGAAATGGACACCGCTTTTAATGCAGAGAAAGCACACACACATGCACACACACACACACACACACAGAGGCAGGGGTTTTTCCATGCAGGTTTGACGTCATGCCAAAAACAACAGCTCAGCGGTACTCTGAAAGAAGCAGAGTGTAGTTAAAAGTACTCGGTCTGAGCAGCTTCTTCTGATTTGATTTATTTATCTCCACATTGTTCAGAGTGTGTGTTGTTGGTGTAAATGTATCTCAGCAGTGACTTCTCTGACCTTGTGCTGGAACATCTCTCGCTCTCTTTCTCACTTTCCCTCTGCATCCCAGCATAACCCGATCAGTGTGTGTTTGTGAGTGTGTGCAGCAGCGTTTGCAGCTGTTTAGACATTAACCTCGCTCAGTGAAAGAAAAGCAGGCTTTAATTCCTTCATGCCAGTCTCCACTGAAAATCATTAAAGCCTCCTTTGTTCAAGGTTATTCACGTGCACACGCACAAATACACCTATGTGCTTCCAAGCTGGAGGCAGTGCAGCAACAACAGTTCACTGTTCCTCAAAGGTGTCCAGGTTAAGGAAAAGTTTGGTGAGAAAAAAAAAGTTTATTTGAACAGATTTGTCCAAATAGAGAGGGGGAAAGAAAACTGAGTGACTGCTGCATTGAAGGTTTCTCCATCTCATGTTACCTTGGATAAAATTTGATTTTGTCAATTAGTTTTCAAAAACCACTTGTGTTAAGTTGCAGATAATATCTTTTTTTTTTGTTTGTTTAGTTAAAGTCACTAAAATGTAGCTTCACTGTTAATAAACAAGCTTCATTATTCAGTTTGTTTTAGAAAATATAGACAATTATATCGTTTAAAGCAGTGGTTCCCAACCTTGGTCTCTCTTGCATGTTTCAGTTGTTTCCTGCTCTTACACACCTGGTTCAGTGATTTAATTATGTCCTCGTGTTCTGCAGAAGCCTGTTAATCACCCATTTATTAAAATCAGGTGTGTCGGAGCAGAGAATGCAGGATGGTGTTCCTCAAGGACCAGGGTTGGGAACCCCTGGTTTAAAGTATCTTTGGTACTGTAAATATTAAAAGCTTTGTTTTTATAGAATGATGTAAATAAAATAATAATAATAATAATTTAGTAACACACTGTTTGATTTTTATGTATTTTGAATTTATTTTTACGTTCAACTAAAATCCTTTTCTTCGTTCGGCTGCTGTCCTTATGGGTCGTCACTGCAGGTCATCTGTCTTCGTCTCACCCTGTCTCTGTGTTCGTTCTCTGTCACACAGACCTTCTGCAGATCCTCCTGCACGCCATCCATGGTCCTCCTCCTCTCCTCCTCTCAGCTCCATATTCAGCATCCTCTGTCCAATAATCTATTCTTTCCTCTGCTCATGTCCAAACCATCTCACCCACGCTGCTTCACCTTTGCCTCCACTTGACTCGCATGTCCCTGCACACTGTCCTCACAGACATTTGACAATCCAGTGTGGTTTGATTTAGAGACCTTTTTTGTTTTAAAATGTCTTATTTTTTAAAACAGCAGATTTGTGATGCCACAGATGTGCTCACATCATACGTTACACACAGATTGTTCACTTGTAAACTGTGTTTGTTCAGGTTTAAATAAACGTGTGAGGTGTCTTGTATTGTCCAGTGTCACCAACAGGCCCAGGCTATTTAACCAGACTGTTCTGGTTCTGCTGTGGGCCGTTCCCTGTCAATGTTTATTTATTGACAGCACAGTCTCTTAAAGCTCTGTTAAATTGAACATAGTCTGTAAGAACAAACTTGCTTGTCATGTGAGATGTAATAATAAAAATTGTATTTTAGAAGTATTTTTAATGAAGGCGTGACTGAGTCCAACCATCGTTAGTTAGCTATGTCTTAAACTTTTTCTAAAGTTTAGTCCAATTAAATTATTATCCAGCCATATGTTTTTTAAGTGTTCTTAGGTAATATTTAATTGATTTTATTACATTTGGTTCATTTTTCATGATTCAGAAAGCCACATATTGGCATGTCTGTGAATTCCACCAATCAATTTAGGGTTAAAACAATTAACGTCCAGACACAAATCTGGATTAATGTGTTGTAATTTTTTATTTTTTTTTGTAGAAGTCTAAAACCAGATTTACAGATATGTTTACATTTAGCTGGGATTAGCAGAAAATAACCTCCTATGTGGT